AGCCTCCTCCCCTGCCCATGCTCCCCAGCTAGTGGTGAAGGGAGGCATGCCCTTCCACCTTGCCATATGCCTCTTGTAATGTGGAGCCCAGAACCGGGCACCGCACGCCAGTATTGGGTGTACCAGTCTTGCAGAGTGGCACCAGCGCCTCTCGATCCGGGAGCCACGCCTTTGGCTATGCGTTCACTCTCCTACCCACGGCACCGCACTGCCGGCTTGTGTTTAGCTTGCTGTCTACAAGCACCTCGAGAACCCACTCACAGGAGCCGCCCTGCAGCCACTTGTGCCCCCATCCTGTGCCTGGGGCACTTATTCCTGATTCCTGAGTTCACTTACCTACCCTGAGTGCCATCCTATTGGCCCCCACCCACTTCCACAGCCTCTCCAGAGACTTTTGGGTCTGGAGTACCTGCTCCCCAGTTGTGGGCACAGCTCCCACTTCGGTATCATCTATGGATTTGGTCAGCAGACTGGTTACCCCCTCCACCTGGCCATTGATAAAAAGTTTGAACAGGATCAGTCCCAGAACTGAGCCCTGGGGGACCCCCCTCCTCACTGGCTGCCATCCCGATGACTCCCCACTCATAGCGGCACTCTGCCTGTGGTCTGTCAGCAGTGCCCTAATCTATCGAGGTGCTTTGATCTATCCCGGGGCTCATCCGTTTTTCAACCAGGATATCATGGCACCATGTCAATGAGCCTGCCAAAATCCAGGTAAACCACATCCCTAACCCTAACCCTCATCTGGCCACCTCGAAACCGTGTCATGGAAATCCTCGAGGTTTGTCTGGCAGGACCTGTTTTTGCGGAAGTCGTGTTGTGTGGCTGCCAACCCCCGTTCTCTAGCCAAGGCTTCCAGATCTTTTCCTACTATTAGCTTCTCTGTTGATGGACGTAAGGCTAACTGGCCTGTAGTTCTCCTTGCCCCCTCTGCTATTTTTTTTAAAGATTGGGACCATTGACACCACCCTCCAATCCTCCAGAACTTCTGTTTTCCATGAGGCTTCAAAAATTGAGGCCAACTGATGCAAGAGGACTCCTGCCAGTTCCCAAAGTACCTTCACATGCAGCCCGTCGGGACGCTGCACCTTCGTAACATCCATAGCCCCAAGCAGCCCCTCAGTTTCTAGGGGAGTGACTCTAATCTGTGCCCCCAGAAACACAACCTCATCGGCCCCCTCCCCAGGCACATCTGCCCCAACCTGCTTTGGGGAGTACACAGAAGCAAAATAATGATTTAACTGAGTTTTGCCCCCCTCTAAATAGAACTATGTGGATCTAAACTATTGCTTTTATTGTCTTGTTCTGGCAGACTGCCAGACCGTAGGCAGACTTCTTCTGAGTCATCTGACAAGTATACCTTCAGAGTTCAGTTTTTGCAAGGAGCAGTTGCCCAACCACTAAATAAAGGTTTTGGGTGCCCAAGGCCTAGCGAGGGCCCTCAGAGAGCCCATCCCAGGGAGCTGAAGGGGAGCAAGTCTCTGCAGAGCCTGCAAACGCGGTGCCTTGCTTCGTACTCAGTCTTGGTCATCCGTAGTGTCGGGAAACACTTTATTTGGACAAAGCCTTTGATAAAAAGAATGCTTGTGCGTGTCGTTTGATGTAAAATCGGGCCACAGCGCCCTTGCTCCGCTCCCCAGAAGGAACCAGAACTTCTCAGCCAGGCTCCCTGTGCTAGGAAAGCTGGCAGCTCTGAGGCTCCGGGATCCATCTGCTCTCCCGCGAGAGGGAGCCTCGCGACCGCGCCAGAGGCCACGGGTCGCAATGTGGCAAAGCTAAGACACTCAGATCAGGTTGCGGACGGTGACATCCCTCAGCTTCCTTGCAGCTGAAATCAAAGCAGTGCCTCCGGCTGCCCCCCTGCCCACCCGCAGCAGCGCAGGACAGATTCTCCAGTCCTGATGCCATCATCCCTCCTGAATGCCAAAACTCACACCCGGGATCTATTATAATTCATGTCCCTCCACTGTTTGCCTTGTTCACTGATTGCCAATTAATCACCCCGTAGCGCTATAACCCCATGCAGCTTCCTCTCTGCTCTTGGCATCGTCCTGTTTTGTGCACGTGTTAATCCTTGCAGTGCGCCCCTTCTCCCCTCTTCATTGCCCCTGTGGGTGTGCATCACCCACAACCCATCACACCTTCTGCGCATGCTCAGGGCCCCTCCGTGGGTCACTGCCTTGCCGCGGCAAAGGGGCTTGCGTAGTGCGAAGAAGCTAGGAGCTCTGCTGTGCAGGGGCACCCAAGAGGGATGGGTCATGGCAGAGAGCTCTGGCAAAAGGAGGCGGAGGAGGAGGAGGAGAAGGATCCACTAGAAGAGGAAGTGGCCGCCCCCTCCAGGGCCCTTGCCATGAAAACCCCGTGGACAGTGCCCTAAGATTAGAGCCTTGGAAATCGTCTATAGCTAACTATGCTTATTTCACTGTGGGCAGGAGCTGTATAATTTTGTGGCCAGATTTTGTACAACGGTTACGTAGATTTTTAAGTTACACAAAGCACTTTTTAAATTGAGCTTTGTGAATTCTGGGGCTCTTGAAACTTTAGACAGTCCTACTCAGCCAGAAATTGTCCTCACCCAAACAAGTTTGCCTAAGTTATTTTGTTCAGAGTAGATTCCAATTGTAAAAGTGGCCACAACTTTGAAAATTTCCTGCTGCTTTTACTGGAACATTTACAAGAGGAATGGAAACTTCCACTTTGGTCTTTCCTTGTGAGAATATGACCTACTTTGTTGGCTTTTGGGGCACTCAGGACACGCTAAATAACATCTCTTAGCAATGCTTTTGTGGTAAAGAGAATTTCCAAAGGTTTAGCCCAGTGGCTTTGCTGTTGCTTAGAAGTCTCTCCAAGCAGACCTCCCCCACCGATCATCCAGAGGCCTTCACAGCTGCTGGGGGTGGGCGGCACAGAGGCTCAGACCTGAGCACAGAATTCCAGCAGGAGGGGAGAATTCTCCCCTGGGTCGCTCTGAGGGCTCAGAGACATCTTTTTCTCCATGGCTCACCAAAGAAAGTACAGTGGTGCCTCCTCGTTTGAATGACCCTCACTTTGAATGATCCAGAGTTCAAATGTTAGAGGCATGAGAAAATCTCTTTGAAGTTCGAACAATGCTTCCACGTTGGAACTGCAGGCACAGAGAAAAAAGGTAGTCACTGCGTAAACATCAGGTCTGCTCCCAGGTTGTCCCTCATTGAGTCTGTGTGCCTTTTTTATCATTCTCAGTGCCTTTTAACTGTCTAAGGTCTCAAGCCCAGGTTCTGCCCCTGCCCGGCAACCCAAGATCCTTTTCTTTGCACCCAGGAGGAACTGAAAGCGGGGGCTTCCGCTGAATCACCCCCACCCGAGCCGCTGCTGTGCTCCACGTCCTGCCCTCCGGTGGCTTGCGGTGCGGTCATCCCATCCAGTTAGACTGAATGGAGGGGGAGTCCAGACAGACACAAAGGAAGGACTTCTCGCAGTGTGCGGTTCGGTGTGGAATTCCCCATCAGCCGTCATTCGCTCGGCTTTGGATTGCTCTCAGTGCCTTTTCGCCATGTGCCTCCTCGCTCCCTCTCGGGGCCGCCTCTGTTGGCACAGGCTGTGTGCTGGGCCATGGCTGTGCTCCACGCCAGCCTGCTGGGCAGGGGGTGGCATCTGCCTCCTTCCAGCGATGAGAACGTCATCTCCAAAGCCCTGGCATCAAATGAGGGGGTCACGGGCTGGGGTTTTTCAGCGTAAGCCTTTTCAAGCATTTTCAGTGCGGGCCTTTTCAAACTTTAATTAATAAATGGCATTTAATTGTGCTATTTCGCCTTAAATTATGCGTATTTGCTGTTTAAGTTTATTGAGGAGGGTCTTGTTCAGAATTCATGTTCCTGCATTTCCAGTGGGGAGCATCACTTAGGGCTTCAAAGGATCCAGAGTTCGAACAGCCTCCTGAAATGGATCAGTTCCACGCATGAGGCACCACTGAGTACTGCAAAGCTGGAGGTGCTTGGAGCTCTGGGGAGCCCCCGGTGGCCTAAAGTTGTGCACGGGGTGCTCTGACGGGCGCCACGCACCGCTTGCCCTGCCCAACCCGTCCAGGGTGCGTGTGCTTGAGCAGGGGCAGCTGGTGGCCCCCCTGATGTTTCGACCGACTGCGCTCACGTTTTCTTACCACCTCGCCAGGTTTCGTTAGAGCGAGGCGTCTGAAGGCCCCTGGTACCAGCCCTGCTCAGAGTGTCAACAGACAACTAGTTGTGCTGCTCTTCTGTGGCTGCTCACAGGAATAGACGCACACGAGACGGGGGGCCCCTCTGCTGTCTCCGAACTCCTTGGCCTGCCCCTTTAACCTCATCGGCATGCCTTCTTCTGCGAGGAAACGCCACCCCCTGCTTCTTGGATGCCCACCTTAACATAGTGAGGGAATTTGAGCAGGAAGTCAAGAGCGATGCTGCCAAGAGGCCAAGCTCCCTCACCTACGAAGAAACAGCCTAAAATAAGACAGTGTTTTACTCTGCAAGTGGCACACTCAGAGGAAATCGAGTGAGTCTTATCTTAGAACCATAGAATGGAATAGTAGAGTTGGAAGGCCATCGAGTCCAATCCCTGCTCAGTGCAGGGCACTGGAGGAAAACCATTCCTCTCGGAGGGCTGTCCAATTGCATCTTGAATGCCCCTGGTATAGGAGAGCCCACAACCTCCCTAGGTAATCAGTCCCATTCTTGTACAGCTCTAACAGGAACCTGGGTGCCTTTAACTTTCTTAAACTGTGGTGCCCAGAATTGGACACACTACTCCAGATGAGGCCTAACCAGTGCTGAATAAAGGGGAACTAATGCTGTACAGGATTTCAAGGAGGTAGTTCTATTAATGCACCCTAAAATAGCATTTGTTCTTTTTGCAGCCACATTATATAGTTGACTTTTTCACGTGCAGTATACCAAGATCACTTGCTGATTCCGTTGAGGCCCCATCCATGTGGGTGTTCAAAGATAGGCTGGACGTCCACACGGTGGGCATGTCGTGAGCGGAGCCGGCTGGTGCCAGAGGTCAGACTAGATGGCCCGAGAGGCCCCTTCTGACTCGCTCTGTTTCTCTGTTTCCCTGGCTGTTGCTCCATCTAGCCCACATTCATTCCATTTATGTGCTGCACCCAGAGGCAGCAGGGCGCTTTAGGTGGCTTTCAAGAAACGTCATTTTATTTTGTTTGTTTGTTTTATCCTTTCTATTGCTCACTGCTTGGAATCTGCTCGGATGTAGAGTATGCAGCTGTTACAAGTCAATATGCAATGAACAGGTTGTGTTTCCGCCCCAAACACGCCCTGTAACCCTGACAGGACGGTCTGCCCCGAGTCCACATCTACAAAAGGGGGCCGTGCCCTCGCTCAGACGCCCGGGAAGCAGTGGGGGGGCGAGCGATGGCTCCAAGCAATTGCCATCGAGCAGGACCCTCTGTGGGCGCTTCGCCACTTGAGGAAGGCGACTAGGATACTGTGGGGGCCCTTTCCCCACCCCTGACTGGCCGCCTAACCCCAACCTCAACTTCTGGGGCTCTGCCTCCTGTGCCCCCCCTCCCCAGGACTTGAACCCTCCCGAGCAATTAGAGCAGAGCCACTCGAAGAGCTGAGCTGTTCGGTCTCCTGCAGGGAAATGGGTCTAAATACCACTTGGGCCAGCCTGGCCAAATCGTGACCACGGTGCAGAACCAAGGCGAGGGCATGGCACCTCCACATGGGGGACGCACTTCGCCCCCGTGACTCCATGCGGGCAGGGCCCCTGGGCCAGAAGCTAGCCCCACGGTGCCCCCCCCCCCCCGTCATGCACATGCACTTTCAAGCTCGGATGGGAAGCTTGTGGCCGGCCACTTCCGCCACCCCTGCTGGAGCCCAGGGCAACTGCTGGGATCGCATTTCTAGGACGGCGGCAGACAAAGGCCCCTGTGTCTCCGTCCCAGCTGCTGCGGCACCGAAACCAGTGATGCTCCAAGAGGAAGAAAACCTTTAGCCAGTGCAGGGAAGGAAGGGAAAGAGCAAACCGCCTGAAACAGGGGAGCCCCCCAGTAGGGGGAGGCTTGGAAGGCCCTGGTGTCGTCTCAGTGGGAACCCTCACCTGGGCCCTTCCACCTTGCAGGCGAACCCCT